AATTAAAATGTGATTGCAAAGTTTAAAAAAAATACAGTAGGGCCGGGGATTTAGCTCAGTGGTTTCGCCGCCTGCTGTGCAAGCACAAGGACCCAAGTTCGATCCCCAGTACCAAAAAAAAAAAATAAAATAAATACAGTGACTGTTGCCCAGAGCTATTCAACGGAAAGGCAGCTCATAAAAACATGATGGTGTCCTCATCCACCTTATTCACCAGATCTGGCACTGTGCAACTTCTGGCTCCTCCCTAAAATCAAAATGACTATGGAAGGGAAACATTTTGATTCGAATCAGGCCATTCAGATGGTCACAGCAGTGCCACTAAAGACACTCACGAAAGAGGACTTCCAGAATGGCTGCAGAAAATGGCAAGAATGATGGAAAGTATGTTTGAAGCAAGGGAGAGGATTTTGAGGGCGATTTATGGCAACATATCTTTTTTGGTACTAATTTTGTTTGTTTGTTTATTTTGTTCGAGGCAGGGTCTCCCTTTGTAGTTCAGGCTGGCCCTGAACTTACTATGTAGCCTAGGCTGGCCTTGAACTATCAATGATCCTCCTGCCTCAGCCTCCTGAGCGCTGGGATTATAGGCATGCACCACTACAACTGGCTTTTGGTACTAATTTTTTTGTTTGTTTGTTTGTTTTGGTACTGGGGATAGAACTCAAGACCTTGTGCTTGTAAGGCAGGTGCAGCACCACTGAGCTAAATCCCTGGCCCTTGGTACTAATGTTTTTAAATTGATAATTTACCATATTTTTCTATTGTAGTCATGATCAGAAAAAACACAGCAACAGGGCATTGATAAAGCAGATATCCAAATGGGTCAGGGGTCACAGGGTTGTGTTGGCTCTGGCTGCCATATGATCTGTAATTAGTTGGGCTGTCAGTGATTGTCAAGCCCTCCACAAATGATGAGCTTCTCTCCTGCTCCTTGTTGGGACCCACTTCCCACCCAGGGCCTGCAGGAAGTTGGCTGCTCTGTGGGCATTGGATGAGGGAATGAATTTCACTTCCCATGACCAACTGCTCTCTAACAAATGCCAGTAAAATTTTTCCACAAAGGGTCAGGTGGTAAATTCTGGGGTTTTTTTTGTAGTACTAGGGATGGAACTCAGGGCCTTGCCCATGAAAGCCAAGGGCTCCACCACTCAGCCATACCTCCAGTCCAGATAGCAAACATCTTTGGCTTTGTGCATCGTAGCATCTTCAAAACAATTACACCACCTAGACCCCTGAAGCTGGAAAGCATCCCAGAGGATTTAAAGGCAAACAGGTGTGAAAGGGTGCTAATAAAACTTTACTCATGGCTGGGCATGATGGCACACCTGTCATCTCAGCACTAGGAGGCTGAGGCAGGAGGATCACCTCAAGTTCAAGGCCTGCCTGGGCTACATAGTGAGTTCAAGGCCAGCCCGGACTATATAGTGAGACTCTATCTCAAAACAACAAAAATAATGATAACATTTGAATGTTTTGATTGAATATGTTGCCTTCTTTGCACACTGGGTGGAGCAGGATCATGGTGCCTCCAGAGGAGAAAGCTGAAGCTGGAAGATAAAACACCTGGCTGCACTGCCAGACCAAGGTCCCTGCCCTGAACTTCTGTGGGGCTAGAGGCCCCTTATCTCCTGGCTCCCCAGATCACAAGGAGCCCCGCTTCAGGCCATGCCCTGTCCAGCTCTGAGGGTTCCTTTCCCTTGGGGGGGGTCACTATGCTCAGCAGTCCCAGCTGGCCCTTGGTGGCCCTACTTATGGGTGTTTATGAGCATGAGGGACGCTACTGCGACACCTGCCATCTCACAGGGCGTGGCCACCCATAGAAAGGAGGTGCTACTTCTGCGGTTCCCCTGTTGTCTTGGTTACTTTTCTCCTTGCTGAGACAAAATACCCAACACCCACAAGTTAAGGGAGAAAAGGTTTATTTAGCTTACAGTTTGTAGAGGTTTCAGTCCATAATCAGCTGGCTCCAAGGCAGGGTGGTGTGGCAGAGAAGCATCGAAGAGGAGAAACAGTTCATGGCAGGCAGAAGGCAGAAAAACAAGCAAACAAGGGACCTTAGCAGCTTCTTTCTGCCCCTTTTATGTTGTATCTAGGCTACTGGGATTAGGGCAATGGCAAACCAATCAGTGGGCTGATTTAGTAATCACAAACCCTTGACCCCAGCGTCACATGCTCTAGATGCAGCCACCTCTGAAAAAGCCCCACCTATGACCGCATGAGGTTTGGGGGGATGTCTAGACACAGCCATACACTTGCCTAGATTCTGACTTCCAGGGCAGTGGTAAAGCACGTTCCCTGGCATGCAGAAGGAAGACCATGAGTTTCACCCCCAACATCACAAAAAAGAAAAGAAAGACAGGCACACTGGTGCACACTTGTAATCCCAACATTATGAGAGGCTAAGGCAGGAGGATCCCAAGTTGGAGCCAAGCCTGAGCAATTCAGTGACTTATTGTGACCCTGTCTCAAAATTTTTTTTAAAAGGGTCTGGGAATATAGTGCAGTGTGAAGGCCCGGGGTTCACTTCCCAGTACCACAAAGAAAGAAAGAAAAGAAAGAAAAAACAAAAGAAAAAGAAATTACTGTGTTTTAGAACATGACCTGTGGCTAGCAGCTGTGACCTGTTGGGCCTGTACCAAGTGGCCCAGATAGAATCAATCTTTCTTTCTTTCTTTCTTTCTTCTTTCTTTCTTTCTTTCTTTCTTTCTTTCTTTCTTTCTTTCTTTCTTTTAAGACAGCGTAGTTCAGGCTGCCCTCGAACTCATGGCAATCCTCCTGCCTCTGCTTCCAAAGTGCTGGGATGACAGGTGTGCACCACCACATGTGGCTCTGGCTGATAACTTCACTGTAGCCATAAGAGGAGCTGTGGATGGAAGACTCTGCTCCACTTGGCTGCTAGTGAAGACACTGAGATGACAAGCCTGCATTGTTTTCCACTGCAGTATTAGGGAGTCATTTGTTACACAGAAACAGCTAACTAATACAATGTGCCTTCTTTCTTGGACTTTCCAGGGCATCTCTTGCCCTGTTGATGACATTTAGTAATTACCACCTATTTTCTTTCTTCTTTTCTCTTGCAGTACTGAGGATGGAACCCAGGGCCTTGTGCTCGCCAGGCAAGCGCTCACTACTGAACCACACCCCTTTCCCAGTGAGTGCCACCTGTTTTCCTGGGACCTCCATACATGGCAGAGCAGCCTCCACTATGCCCACAGGGACCCCAGGGCTGCTGGGACACTGGCCTTCATAGTGCTCATTGCAGGGCCCAGGGTGGCACAAGGATCTTGCACCCAGGACTCCTAGTCTGGGTTCTTTACACAGTCCACTCAACCCCACCTCCCACTTTTTTTTCTTTTCAGTACTGGGGATTGAACCCAGAGTCTTCACACTGAGCTACATCTCTAGTCCTTTTCATGTTTTTGGTGTTTTGTTGGGTTTTTTTGGCACCGGGGATCAAACTCGGGACCTTGCGCTTGCAAGGCAGGCACCGGAACCACTGAGCTAAATCCCCAGCCTTTTTGTTTTTGTTTTGAGACAGGGTCTTGCTATGTAGTTCAGACTGGCCTTGAACTCACTATGTAGCCCAGGCTGGCCTTGAACTCATGGTGATCCTCCTGCCTCAGCCTTCCAAGTGCTGGGACTACAGGGATGTGCCACTACACCTGGCTCCTTTTTTTTTTTTTTTTTTAAGTTTCGTAGTTCTTGCTAAGCCATTAAATTGCCCAGGCTGGGTTTGATTTCCTCCTTTT